ATATCGAAGAGAGATTGGATTTTCTCGGGGTTGATCTCTATTCCCTGCTGGTTAACCATGTACCCTAGGAATTTTCCCGAGAATACTCCGAACAAGCACTTGAGAGGATTTAGCTTCATTCTGTATAGCCAGAGGATGTCAAACATCTCAGCAAGATGCGCTATGTGATCCGAAGTGACATGGGATTTGACCAACATGTCATCTACATAGACCTCCATTGACTTGCCAATCTGATCGGAGAACATCCGATTAACCAATCGCTGGTAGGTCGCACCAGCGTTCTTGAGGCCGAAGGGCATAACTTTATAGCAATACAGTCCCTGATCTGTAATAAAAGATGTATACTCTTCGTCCAAAGCGTACATTGGAATTTGATTATATCCCAAGTACGCGTCCATAAAACTTAGCAGCTCGTGCCCCGAGGTGGCATCTACGAGCTGGTTGATTCTTGGTAGGGGGAAGCTATCTTTAGGGCAGGCTTTGTTAAGGTCGCTGAAGTCAACATAGGTTCGCCACTTGCCATTGGGCTTCTTTACCTGAACCGGGTTGGCAACCCAGGTCAGGTAGAGTACCTCTCGGATGGACTCGTTTCAGAGGAGGTTATCCACCTCTAGCTTTAAGGTGGCATATCGCTCAGGATCCATTGCTCTTCTTTTCTGGCGAACTGGCTTAGCTTTGCTGTCGATGTTCAACACATGGCAGATGATATCCGGGCTGATCCCGACCATATCTGCATGCGACCAGGCGAATACATTGATATTTTTCCTTCGGAAGCGAGCTGAGGGTTGAGATTGCTGCCAATCCTTAATACTCGGATCAGTTTCTTCTGGTCGACCGAAACTTCGGACAAATCCTCAACTGGCCCACTGGAAGGGCTTTCCTGAATTCGAGGATCCATATTATCCTCGGTTGGACCAGGCTGTGGCTTGATTCGGCTGATCGCCATAGTCTGGCGGGGAATGCCACGCGAGATACCCTTCCTTTTGCACGCCATCTGCATTGCTTTTATGTAACAGTCGCGAGATACGCTTTGAGATCCGCTAACTTCTCCTATCCCTGTCGGGGTGGGGAACTTCATCTTGAGATGGTATATAGAAGTGACTGCCTTGAAGCTTTTTAGTAGACGTCGCCCCAAGATTCCATTAAAGGCAGATAGGCAATCCATGACCAAGAATTCAGTAACCTTAGTCACTTCGTCATAGTCACCCAGCGTGACCGGAAGTTGGATCGTTCCTTTGGGGATCAGGTGGTCCCCTGTAAAACCATAAAGGGAGATCTAGGCGGGCTTCAGGTCGGCTTCGTCCAAGTTCATTCTTTCAAAAGCAGTCTGGAATAGGATGTTCACAGCACTTTCGTTGTCCACTAGCATCATGCGGACGTTATGGTGCCCTATGAGGGGCGTGATCACAAGAGCATCGTCGTGAGGATGATGCAAATAGGCTGCATCCTTTTCAGAGAAGGTGATCGGCTCCTCCTTGCGAACCTTTTGTGGTCACTGCGACGTGTTCATCACCCTGATTGGGTCGTGATGAGCCTCGCAAGCATATCTTTCTTGGGCACCTCGCGGGCAAAGATTATGTTGACACTGCTATACCCTTTGCAATCACGACGCTTCTTTCCTTGCTCCCCTTGACTTTTCTCTTGCGCGGGAGCGGGGTCATCAATATACTCCTTGAAATGCCCCTTCTTAATGAGCTCTTCGATTGTCTGCTTGAGAGCTCGACACTCATCGGTGTAATGCCCGTTATCCCGATGGAAGCGACAGTACTTTTTATTATTTCTAGCTGACGCGAGAGTTTTCATGGGCTTAGGCTCTCCGAGCAGGCTAGCTGCTTCTAATTTGTCAAGAATAGCCGATACAGATGCATTCAGAGGTGTATATTGGTCTCTGTCGTGATCGCGACGAGGGATAGGAGCATGGGACTTTTTGGGCTCGTAGCGAGGTTTCTTTCCTTTTCGCTGATCGGCAGCGGTCCCTCTACGATTAGCTCTTCTGCTTTCCCCCCAACCAAACGTACTGCCTAAAGCGCCCGGGTCGAGACGGCGAAACGCCGCCAGCGAATTTTCAATCCAGAGGTACTTCTTCGTAAGGTTATGGAATCTAGTGAGGGAAACATCGTCCTTAGCCTGTAATTCTTTCCACATGTTGGTTTGTGGACGAACTCCCGCTATGATGAGAGTCCGAACAGACTCTTCGAGAGTATGAGCCACCTTGTTGAGTTCTCTATGGAAACGGTCGATGTAGGACTAGAGTGATTCATCCCTTTCTTGCCTTATATTGCTGAGGTAGCTCAAAGGCATCGAGAACTTTCAGTTCGCTTGAAAATGCCTTAGGAACGTCGCACTCATCTGAGGCCATGAACTGATCGATCCCGTTGGGAGTGACCTAGACCACCGTTTGGCATGAGAGGTTAAAGTCACGGCCAAACAACGGCATTTTGCTAGATCTGAGACCTGGTGAAGCTCCATCAGGTCGTTAAATTCATATAAATGATCCTGCGGATCAGAATTTCCATCAAATGCTCGTATGTCGGGTATCTTGAATCCTTGTGGGAGTGGAGCAACTAGCACTTCGGGAAAGAAGGGGGAAGCAGATGCGACTTGCCCTTGCTCATTTTGCTGAGCTCTTAGTCGGTCTAGAGCTTGCTGCAGCTCCTCAATTTGTGGCAATGGAGCCACTTGGGGATTGCTTTCACCCATGCGAGTTCGACCCTCGCGATTACGGTTGAGGAAAGTCCGGAGGTCAGATTCCTCTTCACCTCAGCCGGCAGTCCCGACCGCTCTCGACACACGCTGGCTAGAGGCGTGTTATGGCGATGGATGATGCGGGGTATTTTCACGACCTTGGCGGTGGTACGAACCACCCCGCGAAGTGTGGGAACCTCCCGTACGATAACGATCAGGATTGTTTTGCTGGCGGTGATAAGAATCGCCTCGCCTAGCACTTTTACTAGGGTGTACCTACGACGTGGCATGGGACAGCTCGGGATACGTCTTTTCACCGAGTCAACTTTACTGGTATTCTACTCGGGACGCGCTTGGTGTTCGCTAGCCCTTTGGAGCCCGTGGGCCCTTTTTTTTCCACTTGCTTACCCTTTCATCTACGCGCTGCAGTGCTTGTGACACGGGCTATTTCCCTTTGTCGCGCTTTCATGAGACCTATAGGCGTTTTTGGCAGTTCCACCGCCCCAGCTGATTTGGATGGCACGCCTTGGTCCAAATGGTCCAACCTTCGGTTGACCGTCTGGAGAGTATTTTCAAACCTCTCCAGGTAGCTTCTAATGGCGGGGTCAAGTTGTGAACATGATGGGATATCCACTACAGCATTTTGCGGAACTGAAGGTATTTTGGAAGAGGTGTCCCCCTGGACTTGGGGGAGCCTCTCAGCACCCTGGTTGGTTTGCTCAGGCTCAAGTTGGTGGGCTATTTGCTGTTGTAGCACCAGTAGGTTAGAGATTCTCCTGATGAAGGATGAACATTAAATCAGGCCCTCCTTCTAACGCCAAACTGTTGATGCATGATTTTTACACCAACGAAACGCACGTGTGAAATGCTGAGCTGGCCCAGAAGACACACGTGAATGCAAGACAAAATAAGAGTAAATGCAATGAGGACAGCTTTTAAAGTGGTTTGGATGCTAAGGTAGCAAGTCCTATGTCCACTGATGTTTATATTAATGATAAGGGTCAGGTCGCGTTAGCGGACTGACCTACAAATGATTTACAAATAACTCACAAAGTGATAGTACAAGAGAGAGAATGCTATATATTCTTGAGAGAGAATAGCTAATCAAGAGTAAAAATAAGTGAATCCCCAGAATGAGAGAGGAGCTCTCAATTTATAATGGGATGGATTGAGGTAATGATCACTAAATCTGTGAGTTAGTGGGATTATCCGTGCAAATCCTTCTTTATGTCACATTGCCCACCTTCCAGAGTAATTTACGCGATTTATAGCAAGGATTGGACACGTGGGATCATCACAGCTTTTAGCTGATCTGGCGCGCACCCACTATTCTGACAGAAGCAGGCTGCGAGTGTACCCATGATCTGACTCTTGCATACTGACTAGACCTTAGGTCAGCCCTTATATTTTTTAGGCATAACAATTGACAATCTTATTTATCCAGAATCCTTTATATCCCTTGTTTTTTAAATTAATTTATATATACACTAATTACTTGTAATGTTAATATGTAAAACACAAAATTAATGTCCGGATCAACAGGGATACGATTTTGACCAATGGGAAATTATTAGTTGGGATTAACCGTGATACGATTTTGACCAATGGGAAACTATTAGTTGGGATTAACCGGGATTCGATTTTGACCAATGGGAATCGGTTACCGCTACAATTATTAGTCCAACCACCCGGGATGAATCTCAAAGTAAACTATACTTCTCCAAATCAGGAAAAATATTATTTGCGGTATATTTTCTTGAAAATTATCTACATCAAAAAATAGTTATAGGGTTAGGAATATTATCATTTTTTTAAGAATGGCATTTTTGAAGCCATTGTTGAGCGGCTTGAAGGCCTCCGATGGCCACTAGACCACTGGAGTTGCGAGGCCAACGCCAACAAATGACTGTGATTGGTGGTTTATCACTCTTATATCTAACAGATCTTCATTGGGTAAGTCCCAAACCGGCAAGGGCTTGCTGCCATTCCCCAGAACATACTAAAACATACAATTCCTCATTACATTTTTTAAGAGATTTCATCCATCATATTCTTACAACACCTTGAATTAAATTCCAAATAAAGAATTCTTTATAAGTGCCCACTATTCATTAATACATTATTCATCTATATTTATTTAAGTTAATGTTTTACATAAATCCATTCATTTACTTTATGACACATCAGTTCGTACAAAAAAGTTTATACATTTTCTATCTCCAATGAAATCCATTATTAAAAAACTTTAACAGAACAGCGGACAAAAACCAGGAAAATCAACATAAAAGATAAAACACGTTAAATATATCCCATAATGAAGTGCAAGTGCATAATTATTTTAAAAAAAAAAAAAAAACTTTAACAGAAGCCTGAATGCATTTATACAGTTAGTCAGTTCCAAATTTTGCATACAGGCACTCACACTGGTTCAGAAAGCAAGAAATCAAAATCCACAAATGACCCTTACAAATCATGCCACAAATCTGAATCCCGAAATCAACTTTTGCTGTCCACCAGGCACCATTACCTGACCAGCAATATTCAAACTAATCATCAACATTAATCAACCAACAAAAGTTTCAAAACAGTTCATACATTTCTCAAAATATGGACTTCATGGGAGTTCAGACATTTGACACACCGCTGGCATGTTATTCCATGCACAAGAACCAAAACCCCATCCTTGACTCGCTGTCAAAGTTCCTGTTGTCATCTGCTTATATTCACTGCCCAAATCATCTCCAAGAAGGTTCGCTATGGCATCAGTCATCACAGTTGGATTCTTAACATAAGCAGAGCCCTGCCCAAGCCAATCTGAACTAAGTAAAGCATCAGCCTGACTAATATCATACAGATTAGTGCTTTCTTTTCCTCTATCGGGAGTCCATGTCTGGTCAACTGGTTCTGATTTCACCTTGCACCCTGCTGAACAAATGAAAGTTAGATGAGAAACTATTGCACAAACTGGTGGGGAAATCTATCCAGCTTTCAATCAAATAATTGTAGCTGATTGCCACTTGCTAATACATCTCTCCACCCCCAAGGAAAAAATGGAAACAAGAAATGCATTTAGAATAGGTAGTTCTTGGCAAACATAAGTTATTTGGAATTGTTCAAGAATTCTGCAGGTACTGGAAATAACACCATAATATGCAAGCTAGAAATAAATAAAAGAAAATATTCAGTTCATACTATAATAGGTTCTACCCACATCAAAGAAATAATGATTCAGAAATTCCTGGACAAAGTTTAAAACAATCTAGTAAGATAGATTCCATCCATATATCATAATATCAAAAAGTTTGATGCATACCAACATATGACTCAACAGGAGCTTGTTCATCCAAGGAACTTCCACTGGTACTGAGAGGAGTGCACTCATTGAAGAGAGAGGTTGCAGAATGACCCAGTGGAGAAAGGGCGTCACCATAGTCCTCCCATTCTGTTTCACAAATATTCAGGGTGCAACTATCAGCTATATCAGCAGGAGTAACAGAAGATGAATTTGAACTCTTGTCAGAGGAATGATTCTTTGCATTGCTCAACGTTTTTGCCTCATGGAGTAAAGCATCAAGCAGGCCACTGTTGCGCGGTGAAGGGCAATCTGACTCAACAGTCCCAGTTGGTGGAGGAGACTGAATAAAAGAGTCAACTGTCTCAAGTAAGGGTTGTTGGGGAGATGATGCACCCCAGCTACTTAAATCAGTTTCTGGATATTGGAGTGAAGGGAGCTCCAACTTCACAGCCCCTGAAGTGGGCTTAGAAGCAGAGAAATTGCCATTTGAAAGGGTCTGGCTACCCTGTATTACCCCAAAAGACTCGGGGCCCCTGGTTGTAGGATCTGGCTCAAGTGGAAAAGGCAGCCCAAATGTTCGAGCCATCTTCTCAGGAGAATCATTCTGGAACTGATCAAATGAGGGGAACTCATTTTTCACTCTTCCACTATAACCAGAGAATAATCCCACTGAATCTCGAAGACGCTTCTGGCGATGAATTGTTGACGGCATGAAGCTACAGAATGGAGAACCCAGACCTTTCATCAGCATGTTGCTTCCAGAAATATCAGGAAGTTCAGGGACGTAAGGTAAGACACCCTGATTAGCTTTTAAACTGTCAAATACAACATCGGGTATCTCATAACCATTAGTCTGCAAGATATCTTGATGGCCTGTATCCCCATTACTGATTGCACCAATGTTTTGGTTTTGACTCTCCTGCAATGCTTGGAAAGACACTTCAGGAGGATAAAGAGGTAAGCCAGCACGTTGGCGTCGTTTAATTCGGGTATTCCAGTAATTTTTTATCTCATTATCTGTGCGACCAGGCAACTGAGAAAAGAGACATACATCATCTTAGATAATCAAAAGACAAATATATTTAATATTAAAAATAAAAATAAAAATAAAAGATAGGGGAACCTAGATTTTGATTTATAGGACTAAGCAGCAAGATTAATGAACTAGAAAACCAATATAAGAATATTCATCGAGAAATGACAAAATACCCACTTCAAACAAAATACGAGCCAAAGTAAATTAAATTAATACCATTTAACAAGAAAATTTGCTTATTTCAGGGAAATGCAAGATCAACAATATTACATGAAATCTGATAGAGATTAAACTGCACCATGTAAACCCCTTCTAGATTGCAGATTTGCTTTACTGCAGGAAATGCAAGATCAACATTATAACAGATCATTCCTCAAATACAGCAGATGTATTACAATTTATCTCCCAAAGACAGAAAAGGTTTTTAACATTTTGAATAAACTGAGGTATGAACATTCCTGTTTTCTATCTATATATTTACCTTTTATCTTCCGATAATTAAAAATCAAGATAAGAAAAAGAAAAGGAAAAAAAAAAAAAGGCCTCTAGGATCAAATACCCAGCACAACTTACAATTAATTAAATCATGCTGAGTGTTGACAATTTCCGAAGAGAAGCTATGCATTATTTGTGAACACAGTGCAATATCAAAAGAAATCTTCTCTGAAAGTAACAAACATGTTTTCAAAATTAACAAAAATATATTGACCAAATTATACACCAAAACAATTTCTCACTTTTCATCTTACATTTATACTACAAGTTTCACAATGCAGTCTTAAAGTTCTAAAACTCCCTGCTTGCACTATATATTGCTGCTATCTCATTTCATGTTCAGTAGTATATAGGTGAGTTTAGACAATAAAATAACTGTGGTAGAAATATCTCCACACACAGCATCATGGACCAGTACAGCATTACGCTGGTAATTTCTTGTTTCTGAAATCCAAGATAAAACCAATCTTCACAATTTTAACATATTATATAGAAAGGAATTATATATGACCTTCGCCAAACAGTTTCAAATTCCAATATGTTAATCTTGAATGAATGTGTTGGGGACGATTGAGAATGCAACAACATTTACGAGAAGCAGAAGAACACAACTATTAAAACAGCATAAACATTTTATATTTTCTATTGCTTAATTGATACATATTCAAACATGTGACTTTCCATAATACCAAAAGAATAAAAAAATAAAAATAAAAAACAGGTCTGATTTTCTCTTACACGCTTCAAACTAGACAAATGAAAACAACAGAACACTTAAAGCTTACCAGGGTTAAACAGATATGACATGACATTATCAAACCAACATATATAACCAGAGCAAACTGATAAAAGAAATCATTTTTTTTTATAACTGTAATCAAAAGTAAATTCAAAAAAAGCAATTTCAGTTTAATAAATATATATTTCAGAATATCCAAAACAAATAAACTCAGAGCTTACATGTGCAGCCATGCGTGCCCATTTGTTTCCCATCTTGGCATGGAGCTCAACAATCAGCTGCTCTTCTTCTTGAGTAAATGCCCCCTTCTTCAAGTTTGGCCTCAGGTGATTTGCCCATCTCAATCGGCAGCTTTTGCCACAACGGAACAGCCCTGAGTTTTTCTGGACAGCATTCCAGTTCCCCTCTCCATGCTTCTTAACATAGTCAATTAAAATTGCATCTTCAGCAGATGTCCACGGTCCTTTCTTCAGTAAAACTCCTCGAACCAAATTGCCACCTTCATCCATTAATGGCGAATCAGTCTGATCCCTGGAGAGCACCCTATCATCACTATCACTTGTTGTGTGACTCATCTCTTCACAATATCACACCAATCTCTACCCAGAGAAAAGAACCATCCAAACAACAGGGTGAAATCCTGAAGCATGCACAAGAAAAAAAAATTTAAAACAAACAATAAATTATAACAAAAGCGGAAATTTTGCCTCCACATTTTTCATATTAAAGCAGAGCCTCTCAAAGACTCGCTATTTTCCAATCATATCCTTGTGCAATGATGCAAATTACACACACAACAAAACTAGTACTGCCTAATCCAAACACTCTTCTGAAGCTTAAATCTAAAGCCTGAAACAAGATCACGTACATTAAAGCCAAAAATGGAGACACAACTCACAAGCAACTGGAATAATTTTACGAAAAACAGAACAGAGCTCCCACCAAAAATCAGGAGAAATGGCAGGCAGAGAAGTAAGGTCAGTAACACAAACAACTTAAACAAAGAGTTGCATCCTGCGATCAAATACAAGTAACTAACACTCAAAAAGCATAGATCTCTGGCGACCAAAAATGGACACACAGTTAATTAAATTTCCATATTGAATTAAATTCTTTTACCCAAATATGGAAGCCAATGAACCACCAAAAAGCTCCCAATAGTTAATTTATTAGTCTCTTCACCAACCTAAAACTTCACCAAAAGTAAAAACCCAAATTCCTTTAATTAAACAAAAATCATCGTCAATTACTAAGCACATAACAAACTCAAACATTAAGCAACAGTAAACCAAAGGCAACTAATCAACTAAATAACATAAGAAAATAAAAATAAAATTAAAAAAACTCCTGAAAACTATCTAAAAATGAAATCTTTTAGCTCAATCAATTCAAATCGATAAAAAATTAAAGGTAAACCCATAAACAGGAAATATACCTGAATTGGACTGAATGGATTAAAATCCAAAAACAAACAGTCCCTTAACTCAGTTAAGAGCGCCTAATTGAGCTAAGAGCTGAAACAAAGGTCAAAATGGAGCACCTGAAAACAACAAATTGAGAATCAGTAATTAATTTTGACCAACAAATTGAAATAAAACAACAAATCTTAGCTTAAATCAGCTGAAAAAACAATTGAAATGAAATGAAAAAAAATATAACAAAAAGACAAACCCTAATTTTAGGAATTAAAGAGACTCAGAAAAATAATAGATCGAGATGATTAAAAGCCCAAAACCCAAATGAAAAAGACGAGAAAAAGACGGGAAAGCTGACCGGAAATTGTGAAAGAGAAGCAAGAGGATACGAGCATAGAAAGAATAAAACATTTAGATCTAAAGAGAATTAGAAGAAGAAAAAGAAAGAGAAAGAGAAAAAGAGAGTAGGGTTAAAAAAAATGAAAAAGAGATAGAGCATAAGAGAGAGATTCTAAATGAAGCGAGAAATGGCAAAAGAAGAGCAAAAGAAGGAGAGAGAAAGGAGGAGAGAGTACCAGGTTGAAGTTTTTTCAGCTTTTGAAGAAGAGAAGAGAAGAGAATCAAATCCACTTTATTTATTATTTAATTATTAAATTAAATAATAAATGGACTCACTGACTGGATCAACCAATTACCAAACTCACTTTGTTTCTTTCTATACGCTAATGCCTCACTTTTTCTTTCTTTCATTTTCCCCCCTTATCCTCTTTTTCTTTTTTTTCAATTTTCCCCTCATCTCCATCATAGTATTTTAATTAATTAAATGTAACGATTTAAAGGGTTAAAAAAAATATTTTAAATAAACATTTTTTACCAAACAGCTAAAAGTTTTAGCCAAACCACTAACATTTTTGGATAGATATTTTGAAATTAATTAATTATATATGATATTGTTTTATTAGTAATTATAAATGGTACGATTCTGCTTTTTATTTAATCAAACTTTTTTGTGGACGATATATCTTTTTTTAAATACGGATTTCGATAGTTCAATGATGTTGATAAAAACAAAAAACAAAACATAATCAAATCTTTTTACATCAAAATTGTATAATTTTTTAATGGTTATTAACTGAGTGTTTATGATAAAATTAACACTAGATGAGATTTATGAAATTTTCGGAACTTTTTTTAAATGAAATTATTACACCTATGTTTTGAGATCATAAGGGTTAAACTATAATTAAGAAATTTGCACGGGTGGAAATTAAAAAAAAATATTCATAAATCATAATTTCATTCTACTTTAATATTATATTTTACTCTCAAATTTTCATATATTAGTGTAAAGGATTTAGTGCTCCAATATTTTTTTTATTGAAAAAATTCACTTAACAAATTTTTTTTTTCTTTTCTGAGGTTTCATTAAATTATATGTGGATTCATTTAATACAATTAGATTTATGACAATTAATTTTCATAGCTTTGGAAAAGTTTATTACCTTTTTTAGGGCATGAGTGTCCCTATATTTGGGAAAATAATTAATGAAGAGAAAGTTTATTTCAATAATTTAAAAGGGTATTAATAAAAATTAAAATCTCTTAGAGATTATTAAATGATGCATTAAATGTGCAGCTTTTTTATTTTAACCGAGCATGACCATACCATTTATTTATTTATTACTTGTAAAGATACCTTTGGTGGTTGAATTACATATAACCCTCGTATGTTTATCTAATTTTATTGGCACAATAAACTGTAACGGTTAGTTTTTATGTTAAAGTTAACAGATAAAAATATGTTATTAAAAATTCAATTTTGTTATTTTAAAACTTTTGCATTTTTATATTTGTTTCCTCTTTCTCCTCTCTTCGTCTCCCTAATTTCCTTCTCAAATGTACCTTTCAATGAGTTGGATATAGAGGGATCAGCCTCTGATGATTGTTGTAATTCTAATTTGGCCTTGATAGTCTCCAATCATAATATTAGAGGTCATAAACCATGTCACAGGGCCTTTACGACCTTTACCGATGTGCTACAAGGCTGTGAAAGCTTCTAATGACATTGTGAGGTTGTGAAGGCTTCCAACGATTGCCAATTTGCCAAAATTGGAGGACTTGAAGGACGAAGTTTGAAACTTCTTTTTCTTTTATTGTTGAAGGAAAAAAAAAAATAGATTTTGTTTGTGAATAAAAAAATATGATAAGTTTTTAGTCGTTAAGTGAAATTTTGATAAGTTTTGGGGTAATATTTGAGTTGTAAAACTTAAGATGAAAGGTAAGAAAATCAGTTTCCACTTTAACAAATTTTTATTAATTAATTTTAACGAAATAGGGTTTAGGTATTATCACAAGAAACATACGGAGGGTATATTGTAATTTTCTCTTTCTTTGATATTGTACAAAGGAAAAAACCCATATGACTAATCGGGTTCATCATTCCCTTTGGGCCTTGAATCAAAATAGGCCACATCAATATCCTCTAGCTACAAAATCATTTTTTTTAAATATATACATATATTTTTTTTTTCACAAAAACTCCCTTATTAGGAAAATTATTTTGTTTAATATTCTTATAATAAGAAATTTGTTAATATTAGGTATAAAAAATTTCCGTCCTTTTCTAATGAATTTAAAAATGGTACTTATGGTATCTCATCCTCAACACAAATTAAATTTCAAATTTCTAAAAGAATTTGTATATTTTAGAACAATTGACTCGATCTAAGATCATATCCCCATTACTTGGATTTGTTAATATGGAGTTGTTGCCAATTCATTAATAAGTGTTAAATTTGAAATTTGAAAATGTATTAAAAAAAAAAAATCAATAATAGCCTCATAATAAATTAATATTTCAATTCATCAATAGAAAATAAACATGAAAAATAAAATTATCAAATCAATAATTTTATACTAGTTTGCCCCAAAACTTCCCCAAAAAAAAATGGCAAGCGTGTGGGTCCTCGAGCCTTGTATTTGAATCATCAAATTTCGGCCAACAATTGTTCTTTTTCTGCTCATCTTCTTTGTCAAGTTGGCTGAAACTATGAGCTCATTTCGGCACAAAAAGTAGCTTTAATATTTTGGAGGAAAAAACAAAATTTTTCATTATTAATTATCATCTATATCTTTTTATATTCTTCTTGTGAGAAACTCACGAAATATTTTTGTAGATGTCATTAATGATGAGACTCAACAATATATATAATCAACTTATTATAATTTAATAAGGTCGACACATTATGACACGTAATTTTTTGATCACTTTTGTGAACCCTTCATTTTTGTTAGTTAAACAGTGTAAAGAAAAAAAAAAGTTTAATTAGTTATTTTTAATGTGAACTCAACATTTTTTTAACACCTTAAATTGATAAAAATTAAGTCATAAGATATTGGAGATAAAATTTTGATACAAATTTATTGTTTTTAATGTAATGATTTTGAAATAAGTTTTTTTACAATTAGGATAATGGAGTTGATTTTTATTCGAATTTCGAATCACTACTTTGAATTTAAATTTTCAATTGCCAGATATTGAATGGTGATTATCAAAAGTCATTACACTAATGTTTTGGTGAATTAAACTTAAAGAGATGCAATATTCATGGATGAATCTTTGTTTCTTACAATGATAAAAACAAAAGTAACAATTTTAATTCAGAAAATTTTCTATTTTGAAAACCTTTCTATGGTTTAAGTTTGAGGATTAGCCTATAGAGAATAAGACTGAATCTTTTATAGAAGTGCTTATAGATAAAAAAACTTTCTCTAAAACTACTTAACACCTTTTATAGAAAATAAAAAATATTAAATGATTCTCTAAATGCAATCTTGAATTATATATATACATATATATACTATAAAATCAACACAAAATACTTTTTACTGCTTGGAATTATAATTAAAAAAAATTCTAAATATAGTTGAACCTCTTTATAATGATACTCCATATATAAATAACCTTCATGTAGTCATAAAAAACTCTGGTCCCAACTTGAGCTAACTATAAATAAGAGTAAATTTTACATTATAATAAGTTATAGTTTGTCTAAATCCCATCTTAAGGAACTTGTCTCTATATAGTAATAATTATATGTATATTATAAAAAAATATATGTTATGTTATGTTGATGCTCGTTTTTACACCAACGAATTTTTATGTGTATAACATCAATTGACTGTTCGATGCACGTGAGAATGGAATATAAGAAAAGTAAAATAATTGTAGAGGGAGTTTTTTAAGTGGTTCGGACGCTAAGATAGCCAGTCCTACGTCCACTGTTTTGCATTGATATTAGTGGGTGTCAGGTCGCGGTCGCGAGCTGACTTACATCAGACGAAAAAGTCAAAGAAAAGTTTACAAGAGAGAGAGATTTCTGTTTTTCTTTTTTGTATGTAAAATGGCCCAATCCCCTTAATGAAGGGGTCTTCCCTATTTTATACTGAACCGAAGCGTATAATCATTGCTAAATCCGTGGTTTGGTGTAATTGTCAGTATATAATCTGGCTTTATGTCCCATTTCCCTTTTTCCAAGCTGACATCGCACGACTTGTTGCAGGAGAATGGACGCGTGTGGGCTCAACATCACTTGGCAGGTCTGACGTGTGCGTGCTACTCTGACGGGAGCAGGTCGCCCTTCACATGACTTTCCCACGTCAGCCCTTCATTTCCTGGGGCACAACATGTTATATTAAATGTTTAAGATGAAATAAAATATCTATCTAAATTTGTTTGAGACAATGATTTATGTTTTAAAGTTATTATCATATATTTTATGTTATGAGTACGTAATAAGTCACCAACATGAACACCTTTTTTGAAGCCAAAATATTTCTAACTGCATGTTTGGAGTTTCTTGACACGAAACTTTTGGTATTTCCGTACTATATTTATCATCAAGATTATCTCATTCCTCTTCTTGTCTAATTCCAGTAATGATTTATTCTTAAGTTAAAGCATACACGACTTGTTACTCATTTGAATGATTAAAGAATATATTAATATCCATTTGATTAGAGTAGTAAAGTTGTTGAATCAGATCACTCAATTTTATAATGACTCTTTGATCATTTTCATACTATAATAATGCTACTAAAACAATGAATTGAAATCCTAATACTACTAAAACATGAATTATAAAATAAGAATTCAAAACAATATTTTTTTAATCAAAACAACAATTCTTGTAACTACATTTCTATTAAGAAACCAAAACAATTTCAAACTCCATGTTTTTTTTTTTTTAGTTACTGGAGGTGTTCGAATTAACTTACGCACACATCAACTAATTCCTTGAAACCTTATAATTATCGGTCGGATAAGAGCCACAGTGGCCACCTAGCCCACCCCTATCAAACTCAATGTTTACTCATACCAAAATTGTCTCTTATTAATATCTAATATATATATATAAATTCTCAAATGCATACACCTTAAAGTTTTTTACTCATGGATCAAACTTTAGCGATCAACGAGTCCTAAACTTGATCTACAGGTTCAATTTAGTTGGCCGATTAATAAAGGCATGTCAGAGAGTGTGACATATA